AGAGCAAAGCGATGACGGTGGTGGAGTACAGCGGTGCGCCGAGCACGCCAGGCCTCATCGACGCTCCGGCCGCCATGCAGGTGAGGGCGGCGAAGAAGGCGGGCCAGGCCAGGGTGAAGGCGGTGCCACCGGTGTCGGGTGGGCGGTGCCGGCTCGCGAGCGGCGTGTCGCCACCGCCGAACGGGCTCGGAAGCTGGCGGGCGAGCCGGCGGTATCCCGCGAGAGCGAGGCAGTGCACGGACGCGAGGGCGAGCAGCAGGTCGGGAAGGAATGAGGCCAGCCCGGCCGCCGGCTGCAGAGCGCGTGCTGTCGGGCTCAGCGCGCCCGTCAGCGCGAAGGTCGTGGCGCACACCGAGAGCAGCAGCGCGGCGGCCTCGACGAGGCGTGGCGACAGTGCGAGAAACAGGGCGCCACTCCAGAGAAAGAGGAGGAGGTAGACGGCCGAAGCGACGCAGGCCGGACGGCACACGCTCGCTGCGAGGAGGCAGACGCGAAAGAGACGCATACGCAGTGAGAGGAGTCGGTCATGTGCGGAGGGGATGGAAAAATAAGCGTTCGCAATCAGCGGAGCTGAGAATACAATTGTAGGACCGCCGCGAGCGGCGTGGCGTGGAGCGGTTGTGCATCCCTCCGGGGGCCCCTCTGCGCCGGGGAGGCGTTGTCAAAGCGGCTGGACGGCGCCGCGGCGCACACTGGTGAGCCGCGGAGCACACTGAGGGAGCTGTCCTCGGCGCAGCCGATCGGCTCCCGCGGCCTGGGTGGTGGCAGTGGCACTCTCTGAGGCGCCCTGAGCGTCTGGTATTTGTTGTTGAGCGCTCTCGCGGGTCACCCTCGCCGGGTGAGCCTGGCTCTCGCTGCACAGAGGGTCGGAACCTGCCATGCAAGAGGTTAAGCCAGCTCGATGCTGCTGTCACCAGCCGTGGCATTCGCCGCGGCGCTGCTGTACTTGGCCGTGTGCCTCACATGCACGACCATCAAAGCCTCGCCTTACGCACACGACGCAGCGGCAGCGCCTCTCGAACCGATCTTTATCGTGGGCAGCTACGCTATCATAGCATGGCTTGTGACGGCGCGCGCAGCCCGTACTGCACCAATGTGTGGTGCAGCGGTTGCCGCGTCCTTCTCTGCCTTCGCTTTTTTTGCGATAACACTGCAAGTCGCGGACCTCTTCTTCTTCCTGCACATGGGCGAGGACCTCCGCTACTCGACGCTCGTGATGGCGCTCGGTGTAAACCGCGTGCACATGCTCAAGACCGTGCGCAGCAAAGTCAGCCGCTTCGACCTCATCGTTGCGAGCGTATGCACCATCACAATCGCCCTCTTCACCGCGGGCGGCCTCTGCCTCCGCTGGCTCTGCAGCGGCAGCGGCAGCAGCAGCGGCAGCGGCAGCAGCAGCCGTCGCAGCGGCAGCGGCAGCGGCAGCGGCGTCAGCAGCAGCA